CGCATGCGGGTATCATACGGCTGTGAGCACCAGAACCCACGGTGCCCATCGTTCTCCGCTAATGTCGCAGCCCGGTCTCGCCTACGAGAGCCTAGAATAGACGCAGGTCGCGTCCGCGCGCACGACGTCCATGGACGCCGACGCGACGTGCGCGAACAAATGGGCACTCGCCTCGACGTGGGAGGCCGCGTACGGATGAAATCCTCCCATGAGACTTTTGTGGACCTCCAGGAACCGTCGCAGCACTGGCAGACGGCTTGGATTTGCGAGGTTCGCGTGCACACTGACCCGATAGCGTGCGTGCGGGTGTCATACGGCTGCGAGCACTGGAACCCGTGGTGTCCATCGTCCTCCGCTAGTGTTGCAGCCCGGACGCGCCTACGAGAGCCGAAAATGGACGCAGATCGCGTCCGTGTGCACGACGTCCACGAACGCTCTACCATCGCATTCTCTAATGTGTGCGGCGTGCGCGAACGAATGGGCACTCACCTCGACGTGCGACTCGGAGGCCGCGTACGGATGGTATTTTGCTGGAAGCCTGGCCCCGTGCGCTCTTCCGCAGCACCGGCCGACAGCTTGAATTCACGAGATTGGCGGGCATGCTGATCCGGCAGCGCGCACCCATCATGCTCTGCCTGTATTGCAGTCCGGGGTCGCATCTGTGCGCACGACGTCCACCAACGCCGTGCCGTCGCATCCTCTAGTGCACGCGACGCGCACGAACGAACGGGCACTCACCTCGACGTGAGACATTGCGTACGCTTCCACTCGTTGGTCTGCTCACTGCAATCCAGTCGGGGCTTTCCAGGGAACGGCTGGCCCTGTGCACGGTTATCTTCGGTGACGCGGTGACCGTCGAGTGATCGAATGTGAGCACCGCGGGAGGTCGTCTGTGGACCGCGAGGAAGCATCGCGGTGTCTGTGCTGGCCTGGCTGTGCAGTTTGAAGGATGCGCACGGGTTTGGCAGCATGCGTACGGGAGGGACGACGCGGTGGATGTCTGGTACAGGTCATGATGAAAGCGGAGGCATGTGTCGAGCATACGCGGACATGCGAGCTAAGAGACGACGTACAAAGTCTGCCACCCTACAACCCTCTCCCATGCGCACCGCATCCTGCGTCCGGGCTTGAAGCGAGAGGGCGGGCAGCGCGCGTCCTG